TAGAAAAAATTTTCAGAAAACCAATGAGATATCCATGATGTTTGCAAATAATTAGCTTCTGAACTATGCAAACAAGACTTTAGGTATGTTTTCTTCGGGACAAAATAAAATATGAAAAGAATGTTAGAATACTCCCATTCTCCTCTGTTCTCTCTCTCCTCTTTCCTTTTTCTCCCCCTCTTCCTTCTTTCTTTTAATTTAGCAGATGAAATGATATATGATTTTCTCCCTTGGGTCTATGGTTAGAAGTGAAGGGTTGGTCCTGGGGGATCACTGTCCCTGGAGTGCGTAGTCTCCTCCACCCTCCCCTCTAACCCTGGCAGACTTTATTCCAGGCCTCCAGTATCAGAGGAAGGAACTGGCCAGGACTCACTCACAGCCTTCTGAGAAATAGCCTTCATCATATAATATGAAACATTTTAGCTTTTCTGTTTCAAGTCACTTTTATAAAACAGAAAGAGAAAAAAACATCAGTTTCAAAGACTTTTAGAACAAAAATAAATAAAATGATAAATTCTTAAAATCATTCACAGTTTAATGTTTCTAATTTTTTTATATATTTGCTATCAAAATTGTACTAGAATCACAATGTTTTCTTACTGCTAAGAAATATCCATAGGCACTTAATCATTTATTTAAATTACCTACAAAATGGAGCATAGCATAAAATACTGAACTCATTCATCTGTTTAAGATGCTAACAATTTTTTTTAAAAAAAAGACAACATATAGCAAGGAAAACTAAATTGGCATTTTTTTAATTCTACAGAAACATATAAATATCTAAATTTATAGCAAAAGAACAATTGTACCATTTAGTAATGCTTACGATTTTTAAAATGTGTAATTCTTTATGCACAAGCTACTTTTAAAAATGTTAACTGTGTGCCAAGCATATATCTAAAACATTTTTGAAATTATTTTGCTTTAGCTGTGGCTACACTCAACGAAAAAAAAAAAGAAAAATTGTATAATCAAGTTCTCTTTTTTCATTTGTGCTATTTTTAGCAGAAAGTGCAACTGAAACCAAGCAGCAGCTTACGTTCATTTTTACACCAAATTAAATGCATTATGGAAATTTCATTTTTCAAACCATTATAGATTTGGCCTTCATCATCTAATGTTCCATTCTCAAATTCATTAAAAACTAAATATTAAGTGATTTGCTCTCCCTCGCTAAAAACAAAAACAAAATAATTTTATATAATGATGGTATTGGTTTACATACGAGTGATCTTTAGCTTAAAATATGGTTGACAAAAGAGCTGCCCTGTGTCACTAGTGTTTCAAAGAGATTTTTTGAGCACATACAATGGAAATTGCCTTTAGAATTTACTGAACAATATGAAACAAACGTTGGACACAAATGTACACCAACTATCTAAACTGCATTGCTAGTGTTCATTCAACACCGCAGATTCCTACAGTAGCCAACACTCCATGGCAGGTGAGCGTGCTGCAGTCACCGGAGTGCTCATGGGACCTCCGGAGAGTGCTGACCTTGCCTAGTCATGCTTAGACATGTTGGGGAAGGAGAAGAAACAAGCGGTGGGTGGGTCGTGGCCGAATCCTGAAACACACACACGTTGCCTTCAGACTTAATTGAATCTTTGCTGTTCAACTGAATTGGAAATTTATTCAAGGTTTGCAGATATCTTCTCTGCAGAAAGACAGCTTGTGGATGATGATGCATCCATTGGGATCTGGAATTTCTTGAATTCTTCATATTTGTTAAATTAGCATGCTTTAGGATCTGAATGCGTGGAAGTCTTGCCTCCTCTGATACTAGACTGAACACGTACAAATAAGATGCAAATCAAATGTTCGTGACCACATATGACCATCATTTCTCGAGTGGCAAAAAATGATGCAGGTGGGCAGCCGACATTCTAGGGTTTACTGAACCAATTCATACCATTCTCTTAACTCACCACCAAAACAAAACAAACAAAACAAAACAAACACAAAAAAACAAAAGTAAGGTCATTCCTGCTGTTTTATAGCAGTAGTTCTTTCTTTCTTTCTTTCTTTCTTTCTTTCTTTCTTTCTTTCTTTCTTTCTTCTTTCTTTCTTTCTTTCTCTCTTTGCTTCCTCCCCCGCCCTTTTTATTTATCAGGCTCTTTCTAAGAACCATGGCAAAAACGAATTTATGGGTTGTGTTTACTGGTCTAGAAAGCTCCATGGGGAAGCCTCGGAATCTGCGCTGATTACCCTGCAGTCTTCAAACCTGCATAGCCTAGAATCTCTGCAATGTTCACAGCAATAGATGGTCTAATGCTCTGTGCGAGCTGTAGGCCAATCATTTTTAACTGGAACATAATTCTATGGAAAATAGAAGCAAGGGGAGGGAATGCTCCGTTAGTTACTGCTTAAGAGGCTTTGCTTTCCTGAAACCTATTTTACCCAATAATTCCAAGATGTTCTGTAATCACGCTGTTTCCCGTTAATTTCTTTTCTTGCTACAGATCTTTATCTCCTGTGGTATTATTTGGTAGGACTAATCTTATTTAAATATGAGAGGTAGTGGGAAGTGACATAATCTCTAAAGAATCAATGTATTTATCACAAAATGTTTGATGAAGACATTTTTCTCATTATTGTACCCTTTTACTTTATTTTTGAATACTTTTTAATTGAAGACAATATTAGGTTATATTAACAATGAGGAGTCCTGGCAACACCGCTTATAGTTCTCTAGTCCCCAGGCAAGCCGTATTACAGATCTGGACGTCAGTCTTCTTGGCTGTAAATGAAGAAGCTAGGGTCATCTGCAGATTCCTCTCAGTTCCTATGCTTGTGTTCCGTTCATGGGCTTGCACTTAGAAAACAAATTAGTAGTAACTCCTATGAAACCATGAAAATACATATGATTTTTAAGAAGACGATACATCCCCATCCTAACAGTGAAAATCTCGCTCCTTCAGGTAGGCATTGAATACAACCAAAAAATAAGAATTTTATCCTAATTAAGCAACTTACATAATATAGCAGCATGTTTATAAAATGTCGTATTTCACTTCCATAAGGCAGGCTATTTTACCACAGAGAACAAAATATAGTCCATACTTTAATGTAAAGAATATTAGGAAGAAAATCATCGTTTGGAGACAAAGTTATGCAAATCTTGTCTAAATATATCACTAGATTTTAAAATTTTAAATGCTGTGCAAAAAAAAAAAGATATACAGTAGCACTTAGCAACTTTAACACACATTTTCCAGTTCATTAATTCAAGAAATATTTAAAGAATACTTACTTTGTGCCCAGAACTAAATTAGATGCTGGGGATACCACAGTGAATAAAACTGGCAAAGCCTGGCCTTTATGGGGCTTTCTTTCTAGGGGGTGTGATGAGAGCGCTGGGGAGGCCTCACCGGTGGAGGGTGACAGGCAAGGCTGGAGGGAGAAGGGTTCCCTTCCCCAGGACACATACTGGACAGAAGCTAAGGCAAGTGAGGTGAGGGAACTCTGGGCAGGGGGAGCAAGACAAGAAGAAACTGCCTGGAAGCCAGAGGGGGGCAAGCAAGGGGTGGCGCTGGGGAGGGAGGCTGGCTGGCTCTGCAAGTGTGGCCTGGTGCCCACGGGCCCCAGGAGTGAGGCCGCGCTCACAGGCCTTGAGGCCCTGTGGGGACCAGGCTAGAAACACAGGGCGGTCTCTGGAGGCTGTTGTCACCTAAAGACTGTTGGAGGCAAGGGTGGAGAAATCAGGGACTCCAATCATAAGCGTGTTGCAGTTTCAAGATTTAGAGGCGGTGGCACCCAGTGGGTGCGGTGGGAAGCTGCTGGTTTCTGGTTATGTTTCAGATGTAGAATCAAGGGAATTTGCTGATGGATTAGATGAAAGTTGAAAGACAAACAGAGGAATCAAAAGTGACTTGAGGTTTTTGATCTCAACATCTGGAAAGATGGACCTGGCCTCACCTGCTGTGGGGAAAACATCAGGGAGGGACGTTTGATATCATTTGAAATATTTGTTAGTCTAGCTCCACACGTAAGATGAGTCCTTGTGAAGCCAATCAATATGTTTAGCGTTCTCTACTGAACACAAGAGATATTTTTGCTTAAATTGAATGTGATTCATTGTTTTTTGGGTTTTGGTGTTTTATATTTTATGCCTTTTTTGGGGGGGTTGTTTATTAAACACTAATACAATGTGTTTAAACCATCTGAGGGTTCTTTGAAATCTTCTCTGGCATGAAACTTACACAGTTTTAATTTTTCCTATATTGTTGCTTTGACTGTATTGGACTTTCAAATATTGAAAATGCTACTGAAAATGTGTCAAATTCAGTTTGCACAGAGTAGCTATGATTTTAAAAATTTGTCATTGACCATTTTGTAGATAACGTAAGCATTTTGTTTGACAAAGTCACAATAAGTGGAACAGATAGTATAAAAGAATTCTTGAGTGTTGGGGCTTTTCAAGTTTAAGAAAGAATGCTGGGCAGGGACATTTTACTGTAGTTTAGTCATGACTAGGAAGACAAGAGAGCAAAATGGAAAATGTGATTGTTAAGTCAAGCCTCGTTGTCTTGTGAGGCCACTATCAATTTAAGGCAGTGGTTCACTGGTCCTTGGGCGTCATAGCTTCCTGTGAAGTTTGCTGGAAGCTTCAGATTCGTTTCTCGAAACCATATGCCCCAACATTCTAACTTTTGTTTAAAATTTTAGGAGATTCCAAGAATCCCAGACAACTTGAGATGAGGGGTGTGTACACTTGAAAGAGTAAACCTGAAATGCTTCAGGCTGTAGAAATCTTCTTTAGAGTTGTACCAATATACAGCCAATAGAGGAGGGAATGCTAGCTGGGGAAGTCATGTTACATTTTAGTGACCTTCAGGAAGTGTCGTCCCTTTCATTATAAAACAGTGTGTGTGTGTGTGTGTGTGTGTGTGTGTGTGTGTGTGTGTAAGTATGACAGAAACAGACAGAAACAGAGAGGCAGAGAGATAAAAAAAAGAGTTTGTGTGTAGCCATACTGATGAAAACTTTCTCTCAGAGATTTTTAAGAAAAGATGAGGGCCAAAGATGTAGTATCTTCTGCTCCAGAGGATGCTTCTTCCATTTCCCCCTAAATTTCTTTTCGTAGCCTAGTGCACTTATAATGAATGAGTCACATATGTTGAGCAACTTCAGGGGCATTTTAAATGGTGTCAGATCCTAAAACTTACTAGCGCAAATCTCAGATAAATTTTCCTTCCTTTTCACATCTTCTGCTCATGTATTTTGAACACAAAGGGTTTTAAGATGGAAAAAGAACATGTGAAGTTGTCTATTATTGTCTCACTCAAACTATAGTTTATGGCAAATGATTTTAAGCAGTTTAATTAAAAGTTTAATGGATGTGTATGGAGCTCATTCCCCCAGTGAAAACTTTAGATACTATTGCATGGCAGTGAAATTCTGATAGTAGTGCATTATTTTTTAAAACATAAAATTAAAATGGTAATAGTGGTCCAACTAGAATCTTCGAATGCAAAGTAATTAAAAATTATGGCCAATCTTCTATGCTTCACCTACAATTCTGTACAGCATAAGAGACAAAGTCACCCTCTAGAGTGAAGAGAAAAAGGTCCATATGGGTCCATGGTTAAGAATTGAGTTTCCATTAGCAACTCTGGGACCATGATGATTGTTATGCTCAACCTATGTTAGGAGTGATTGCAACCAAAACAGTATCTTTTAAAATGATTTATTTTTTTCAGTGTAGTTTTATCTTGCTCCCCTCAATGCCTACCTAGTTTCCTCTGATTTCATGTACTTGAAGTTGAACTTTCAAACTCTCCTCCATTTTCTCTGTGATGCTTTTATATAGACCCTTTGAGAAGTCAATATCCAATTTAATTTTTCTCTACAAAATTGAAACCTATCTTGTACGATGAATTCACTGCTTAGAAATAATTCAACATGTGGCCTTGTTATTGACATAGAAATTCAACATGTTTCCATGAAGGTCCATTAGAAACAGAGTGAGTTTTTCAAACATTTGATGATATATCATAATTAAAATATTTCATAAGGCATTTACATTGTCTCTCTTTCAATCACTATGACAAGAAAAAAATTAAAATCAGCCCCTGACTGATCCTATGAGATGAGGGCAATAGAGGTTTTTTTTTTTTTTTTAAAAAAAAGCAAACACAATTTATTTTTCAAGTTCTTCTGGTGTTTGATAACAGTTTGCTGTTATTTATATATTGTATGTGCTTCTTTTGATCAGATACAAATTTTAGTAGGGAAATAAGCAAACATTCCTAAAAATGAATTATAAACAACTGTATTTTAGAATACTAAAAGGATCTTAAAACTTTCAATTCAGCAAAGTTAATATCTTTCCCTAATTGAGATAATGGAAAAACAAAAGTGTAGACACTTTCATGGCTTTGGGGAAACAATCTTCACGCCCCCAAGGTCATGTTCCTTAGCAGCCATTGTTGGGATCTGCTTCCACTACAGTCCTGCATGGTAGGCACCATTTTGTCTTCTTCAGAAGGTTCATCGAGGCATTGGTTACTGTTAACATGTCTCAAGGTGAGTCTCTGTAAAAGATAACCAATAATCAGTGCAACCTATTTTTATATTTAACTTTGCTAGTTCATCAGATTAAGTCTCTTTTTAAAAAAATCCTTTATAATTTTTTTTTTTTAGTATAAACACAGGGATATGTTTGTAAAACGAATAGTGCAAGAGGCTCTTAATTATCATACGAGTTTCACTATTAGGATTTCATCATGTCTAATGCACCTTTATCTGCAGATGGTTAAAGAAATTGGCTGACATTCCTCATGCATTGCCAAGAATTCAGGCTCCTTTGTAAAAAGCCCATTTGTGAGCTCTGAGTTCACTTGAGGGCTGCAAATATTAACATGCTTTCACAAAAGCTTAGTTTTCTTAGGCATGTGTTAATTCGGTAACCATTTGGTAAACATGCAAAGAGATGTCACAGCTGTGACCCAAATGAACAAAACCGCTAGAGATGTTCCCATTTCAAAATACTAAACACGCCATAGTATCTGTGTCTATGAGATATTCAGTGTAGACAAAAGATTATCATAGCAACAAAGACCTGTTACTTGATAGTATGATCATCATATTTTGGTTTTCACTTTTAGGCATCTTTAAAAATATCAATATCAAATATAAAAAGGGATGTTATGGACATATGTTTTAAAATATCATATACGTATTTTACTTTCAGCATAATAATGATATTCATTAATAACCACACTCTCAGTACCAAGTTCAGATAAACATTTTAAGTCCACATGTTTTATACATGTTAATTTATGCACACAAATTATATACATTTCTGCTCAGTTTCACGGGCAATGCCTAGAATTTTTTTTATTTTTATTATTTATTTATTTATTTTTTAATTTTTATTTATTTATGATAGTCACAGAGAGAGAGAGAGAGAGAGGCAGAGACACAGGCAGAGGGAGAAGCAGGCTCCATGCCGGGAGCCCGACGTGGGATTCGATCCCGGGTCTCCAGGATCGCGCCCTGGGCCAAAGGCAGGCGCCAAACCGCTGCGCCACCCAGGGATCCCTAGAATTTTTTTTTAAAGATTTTATTTATTTATTCATGAGAGACACAGAGAGAGGCAGAGACACAGGCAGAGACACAGGCAGAGGGAGAAGCAGGCAGAAGCTGAAGGCAGGTGCTCAACCCCTGAGCCACCCAGGTGTCCTAGAATTATTTTATATGCACAACAGCCAACCAGAAGAAAAGTGTTTGAATGTATGGGAGGTGATTTGCAGGTATATCTCGAAAAGAAAGCACACTATATACTTCTGTTGCCAATACCTAAATTAAAGGCAGACAAACTGTTTTTGTGGGAGGCGGCTTTTGATATCACATTGAAAGTTGGATTTAAAAATGCAATGGGGGGCATGCCATAAAAATGGTGGAAAAACGTTGCCTGGACAATTGTCATTTGTTTGCATTAGGACTGCATACATTGGGCTGCACCGCCCTGAGGAAATCCTGAACGGAGAATAAATAGGCTTGTGGTGGGATGCTTCATAGTCAACGAGCAGGAAATTAAAAGTTCGAGGCTTTTGGACGTGAAGGGGATTTCAAGATTGAGACCTTTGTTGTTCTTTCGAAACACAAAATAAAGCTATTTATACCAAAGAGAGAGGGAGAGAGAAAGAGAAGGGGGGGGGGGTTGAGAGAGAGAGAGAGAGAGGATGAAATGGCCAAAGGCCAAAGATAGGCAAGAAGATGGTTGATTTATGCTTATGGTGCCAGAAATAGTGCTGTTGCCTTATGAACCAGTAACCAACTTGAAAAAAAGATACAAAACTAAAAATTTTTTTCTAGAAAGTCTTAGTAAAAATTAACAAAATATTCTTTATTTTTGTTACATACTTGAGGTTCTGTGTGTATATATATGTCGTCTTTCAAAAAAAGGCATTTACCCTTGCTTGCTTCTAGTAGACCTTTTTTTTTTTTAAATGTATGTGACTTTAAGGATCAGATTGAGTATAGGTTGTCAAGTACACAATGATTGTTTGTAAAAGGTTAGTTTTTTTTTTTTTTTTGTAAAAAGTTTTTTCTTTGAAGGAATTCATCAATAGTCCAAAGCCACCATCCAAAAGGTAACAAACAACTCACCAAAAAAGCTCTCCTTCCTAATGTAGTGCGTAGAAAGCCAGACATTTTAGGGTCACATAGACCTAGGGTGAATTCCTGCTCCCCCCTTCCGAGCAGTGAAGATCTGGGCGGGCTACCCAACCATTCTGAGGAATCGGATTCTTTGTCAGAAAATGCTTAATTATACTTATGGGTATCCAAAAATGCCCTTTTCTGCTTAAAAAAGTCAACTTTAGTCAACTGTATACCTGCGATCCTTTAGCAACCTGGTACAGGTTAACAGTGTTGACCCGTTTCTAGGCAACACGGCTTCTGGCAAAAGTAATCTCTGCAGGGTTAGGTGCACCTGCATCTGATCACCTCCATCCTAATACCTGCCAGGAAAGCGAAGCATGGCCCCTCCCGGGGGGCGAGGCCTGTCATTTGGCACAGGCCGCGGTTCCGAGGAGCTGGCTCCCCCGGGGCTGCACCGACTCCTGGGAGGTCTGCAGAGAGCAGCACCTGTGCTTTCTGTCCTAGAATCCTGTAAGTAAACTTGTGAGACGAACCCAAAGATACAAACGCAGTGAAACGCCGGGACACCTGCGCCCCGATGTTTCTAGCGGCGATGTCCACAGTAGCCACACTGTGGAAGGAGCCTCGGTGCCCATCGACAGATGATGGATAGAGAAGATGCGGTTTATGTACACACTGGGATACCCCTCAGCCGTTAGAAACGACAAATACCCACCATCTGCTTTGACGTGGATGGACCTGGAGGGTATGATGCTGAGTGAAATGAGTCAATTGGAGAAGGACAAACATTGTATGTGTTCTCATTCATTTGGGGAATATAAAAATAGTGAAAAGGAATAAAGGGGAAAGGAGAAAAAATAAGTGGGAAATATCAGAAAGGGAGACAGAACATGAAGACTCCTGACTCTGGGAAATGAACTAGGGGTGGTGGAAGGGGAGGAGGGCGGGGGGTGGGGGTGACTGGGTGACGGGCATTGAGGGGGGCACTTGATGGGATGAGCACTGGGTGTTATTCTGTATGTTGGCAAATTGAACACCAATAAAAAATAAATTTATTATTATTTAAAAAAAAACTTGTGAGATGAAATGTCTAGTTAAGTCTAAGAAGACCCCTTGTTGGGCGTCGCACTACCAGCTGTGCTTTGAAAATGGACTAAGATATCTGTGTAAATTGCCTTGTGCACAAGTTCCCTGGTCAACATGTCCAGACTTTCCCAGCTTTCTAACTCCTCTCAAACGTAGGTTTAACGAAACCAATGCCCCTTCTCCCCACCCCTCTCGTACCTCCATTCAGCCTGGTCATGCCCATTCCCAGCTCAACGGTGTCTTCTACTAACCTTTAACTGGTTCATTTGAACCCGAATAATGCCCTAACTTCCCGCGTGCTGTCATAGGGAGGTATTGCACAATGGAATGGCCTTTATTTACAGGCTAATAATCCCCTCAAGATCAAGAGCTAGGATATATTCTTATTGCTCTCTTTATTTTTTTTTAAATTTTTATTTATTTATGATAGTCACACAGAGAGAGAGAGAGAGAGAGAGAGAGAGAGAGAGGCAGAGACATAGGCAGAGGGAGAAGCAGGCTCCATGCACCGGGAGCCCGACGTGGGATTCGATCCCGGGTCTCCAGGATCGCGCCCTGGGCCAAAGGCAGGCGCCAAACCGCTGCGCCACCCAGGGATCCCTTATTGCTCTCTTTATAAAAATTCCATAACAGGTTTTTGACAGGAACTGAAAAATGATTCATTTTCTTGCTCACTGAGGAGATATTCACAAATCACACAAGTGGTGAGAGAGAGAATTTTTAAAAAGCTTTTATTATTATATCACTTAGCCAACCACAAAGAAATACTTAGATATAATTTATAAAGTTATTGAAAATTACATCTTAGTCTTCAAAAATACATTTGCTTAAAGCTTCAGGGTTTAAAATAATAAATTCTAGAAAAGCTATCCTAAATCTTCACACAACGGAAGTATCTGAATAGAAATGAAGAAAATTAATTTTAATATTCTGAAAACAATCCATTTTTTTTGGCTATGTTAGTTTTCCTTTTAACTAATTTGTTTCAGCTCTAATGCAAAATCTACTGTTATATAAACATGGCTATAGTTAGCCTAAAAAGAGAGCTAATATGTCATAATGTATTCCATTAATTATATTTATGCATATATAAATATTTGAAATAAAGTCAAAAGTGGAAAATACTTACTAATTAATAATAGACCAAACACTACTTAATATAGTCAGCCTCTAAATTAATAAGCAGCTAAGAAGTAAAAGAAGAATAACTCCATGGAGAAATAGCACATAAAGATTTTTCTTAAATACATTTTAAAGAAGTTTCTAGATTTCAGTAACAGAACATAACAAGAATAGTAAAATAAATTCAATACAGTCTACAACACAAACTTCCAAAACTTATTAGAGAACATAATCAGTAGGGTTCTTGAAAATAGTTCTAAACACTTCCATTCTTGTATAGTTTCTTAGTAGCCATTTTTGCAAAGGGCTATCATTACATGTTTCCACAGTGGGCTGCTGGGAGCCATCAGCTACTTTGCTTACTGAGAGACAGGATTGGGTGTTTATGTGAAGAAGAGTGTGGGTCTGTTTGACAAAGAAAATAATGAATAATGACAAAATCAAGTACAAAGGCAGTAATCAATCAATCATACGCAGCAACGTACAATTTCTACTGGATAAGGATGGAAAGCACACGTCACAATAATTGCATCCATGGAACTCTGAGCCACATCCTTTTAGATGGCTTCAGTATCAACTGTATGAAGTAGGGGTAAATGGAGCTGAGACGGGAAGCTGGAGAAAAGCCTGAGATCAAACGGCGAAACACTTTGAGCAAAAGGTTATTTTGGACGGAAGAGGTATATTCTCAGGGCTCATTCTAGTGCAAAATGTTGTT